TTTTTTTTTCTTTTGGCATAAGCCTGTAAATCTCTGTAAATACCTGTAAAAACCTGTTGCCCAAATGCAGTTTAAAACATGATGTAATAATATATATTGGCCGTGTTCTGATATTCGCTGCCAGTACCGAAAATCTATAGTGTATGTCATATACACTATAAATTTTCAATACTGGCAGTAAATATCGGAACACGGCTATTATTACATCATGGTTTATAGCATACATAAAGCCGGTATTAGACATGAGATTATACACAATTTTCAATGCATCTGATGTCCGATTCTGACTTACAATATTACTAGATTTTTCAATATTGCCCGCACTTATTGCCACTCATCTTCACTCACAAACCACCCGGCTCACGGAGCCGGGTGGTTTTTACGCTCTCCCGGGTGAATAGAGTGACAATTTGAACGTCTCACTTGAGAGTCCGGCGAGAGCACTTGGGAGGAATCTGAACGCTCTCTGGGTGTCTGGGTGCACCCGGGTGGGGAATCGAAACACAGCCCAACATGACGCGCCGTTGTGGTGGGAGATCGTTCTCATGCGCGCATGAACTGCGCATGAATTGAAACGAAACGATCTCGTGCGCTCCTATGCGCATCATGCGAGAAACGGAACGCACCCATAGTGTTTGCTTGCTTGCTTGCTTGGGTTTTGGGATTGGCTTCAGCGAATACTCGCTATACGGCCATAAACTGGTTGGGTTATATATGTAAGTTCCTCTTGGGGGAAGGAGAGAAGGAAGGAATTTGGGAGGTGGTAGGAAGGGAAAAATAGGAAAGCGCAGGCCAGGGTCGAGTCGGGAATCGAACCCGAGATCTCTGGGATGTGAGTCAGGCGCGCTACTCCCTGAGCCACCAGAGGCCCCAACACCCATAGTGTATACAGTCGAGTATTCTCCTCATACTTGACTGTGATTAGTCAATTTCTTAAGGCTTAGAGCTTAAATCACTATGTAGACCGGCACTTACTGCTGTCACGAGAGGCCAGAAAGCATTTTCAGGCCGTATTCCGGCCGTAAGCGATACGCTAGAGAAACAAGGATAGCACGCGATTGTCGCTCCTTGTCTGACATTATCTCCCAACAATCGCATCCGTGTGCTCAACGTGTCGATGTGTGCCTTCACGGACGCTACACACATACGCGATGAAAGAGAAACAAAGACAGCGCATCATCTCTCTTTGTCAAACGATCAGTGTACTACCAGCATCGAAAAGTGGATGTAGCACGGATTTGAACCAAAATCGAAAAGTGGATGTAGCGCGGACATGAACCAATCGGCTGTTTTATCGGCTCCGAAAGTGGATGTGGCCATGTAGTTCCAGGCGGCGTAAAATGGATGTACGTGACGCTAGTGTACGACCTAGAAAAAGCGTTACACGAAAAACGGCAGTGTGGCGACTCTCATTCTTCTCTCTGCTGGCATTGAATATCGAACGCAGCCAAAATATAGATTACTGAGGACGATTACTATGGGTCGAGCCTCATGATTTGTCCAGAAAATTTTCATTTTCACTCATGTGGATAGGAACCAAGACGGAGTGAAACTGGCGCCACTTCAGAAGTATTCGCGATTTGTATTATTACTATTACGTTGGATTCGAAATTGTGCGATTTTTTGCAGGTAATATAACATTACAATTTATAATAAGTTAGAGAGAACTTATAATATTCGAAAACCAATAAGAAATTATAATTTTCTCTACTGTATGCACCAATATTCATATGTATTTGCATATTTATTTAGCAAATTCATTGTTTCAAACGCCGTGCTCTAACTCCTCTCTTT